TTACAGGCCTCTCTCATCTTTTTAAGTGGGAGAACTAAATATTTTTTTGCCCACTGTGTTTTGTCTGTTCAGAAGCACTCTGTCTTGAGAACTGCAGCTACAGATTTTACTGAAATGCCACGTGGAAATCGTAGTATTTTTGTATAAATGCACTGCTGCACCTAGGAGAGTGCACAGACTAATTACATACACAACATCGGGCACTAGCTCAGCTCGCATGCTGCACGATAGGAAACAATGAAAACTCCGAATGGCTGCACACACACACACAATCCACTTCATTGTCCGTTAAAAATCCATTACCACGATAAAAATCATTACCTCTGATAATGAATAAGCGTTACTGGGAGCGTGAAATGCGTTTACCTTTTTATCCCTAGCTGTGTTTGTTATCTCCTGTTATGTTGGATTTTTAACTTACAATATAGTGGATCGCTGGTGTGCAGCCATCTGGAGTTTTCCTTTTTTCACAGTATTTTTGTGGTTCCATTTCAATGCAACTACAATGGATATAAAAAGTCTACACACCCCTGTTAAAATGTCAGGTTTCTGTGATGTAAAAAAAATGAGACAAAGCTAAAATATATTTCAGAACTTTTTCCACCTTTAATATAACCTATAAACTGTACAACTTGGTTGAACAACAAACTGAAATCTTTTAGGTGGAGGGAAGTAAAAATAAAAAAAACTAAAAATAATATGGTTGCACAAGTGTGCACACCCTTAAAATAATACTTTGTTGACACACCTTTTGATTTTATGATAGCACTCAGTCTTTTTGGGTATGAGTCTTATCAGCATGGGACATCTTGACTTGGCAGTATTTGCCTACTCTTCCTTGCGAAAACACTCAAATCTGTCAGATTGTGAGGGCATCTCCTGTGCACAGCCCTCTTCTGATCACCCCACAAATTTTCGATCGGATTCAGGTCTGGGCTCTTGCTGGCCCATTCCAAAACTTTAATTATCTTTTGTTGAAGCCATTCCTTTGTTGATTTGGATGTTTGCTTTGGGTCATTGTGATGCTGAAAGATGAAGTTCCTCTTAATCAGCTTTCTAACAGAAGCCTGAAGGTTTTGTGCCAATATTGACTGGTATTTGGCACTGTTCAAAATTCCCTCTACCTTGACTAAGACCTCAGTTCCAGCTGAGGAAAAATAGCCCCAAAGCATGATACTGCCACCACCATGCTTCACTGTGGGTATGGTATTCTTTTGGTGATGTGCAGTGTTTTTGCACCAAACATACAGTGAAGGAAATAAGTATTTGATCCCCTGCGGATTTTGAATGTTTGCCCACTCACAAAGAAATGATCAGTCTAAACATCGAATGGTGGGTGTATTGTAACACTGAGAGACAGAAAAGCAACAAAAAATTCAAAAGAAATGCATGTCTAACAAATTATGCACTGATTTGCATGTTCATGAGGGAAATAAATATTTGATCCCCTATCATTCAGCAGGATTTCTGGCTACCAGGTGTCTTTCATACAGGTAACAAGCTAGGATTAGAAGCAGTCTCTTAAAGGGAGTGCTGCTAATCTCATTTTGTTACCTGTATAAAAGACACCTGTCCACAGAAGCAATCAAACAATCAGATTCCAAACTCTCCACCATGGCAAAGACCAAAGAGCTGTCCAAGGATGTCAGGGACAAGATTGTAGACCTACACAAGGCTGGACTGGGCTAACAAACTGTTGCCAAGCAGCTTGGTGAGAAAGGTGACAACAGTTGGTGCAATCATTCACAAATGGAAGACACACAAAACAACTGTCAGTCTCCCTAGGTCTGGTGCACCATGCAAGATCTCACCTTGTGGAATGTCAATGATCATGAGAACAGCGAGGAATCATCTCAGAACTACACGTGAGGATCTTTTCAATGATCTCCAGGCAGCGTGGACCAGTGTCACCAAGAAAACAATTGGTAACACTATGCCGACAAGGATTGAAATCCTGCAGTGCCTGCAAGGTCCCTCTGCTCAAGAAAGCACATGTCCAGGCCAGTCTGAAGTTTGCCACTGAACATCTGAATGATGCAGAAGAGGATTGGTTGAAAGTGTTGTGGTCAGATGAGACCAAAATCGAGCTTTGTCATCGACTCAACTTGCCGTGTTTGGAGGAGGAGGAATGCTGCCTATGACTCCAAGAACATCATCCCAACTGTCAAACATGGTAGTAGAAACATTCTGCTTGGGGTGTTTTTCTGCTAAGGGGACAGGACAACTGCACCGTATCAAAGGGACAATGGACGGGGCACTGTACCGTCAAATCTTGGCTGAGGTCTTCCCTCAGCCAGGGCATTGAAAATGGGTGTTCTAGCATGACAATGACCCAAAACACATGGCTAAGGCAACAAAGGAGTGGCTCAAGAAGAAGCACATTAAGGTCCTGGAGTGGCCTAGCCAGTCTCCAGACCTTAATCCAGTTGAAAATCTGTGGAGGGAGCTGGAAGTTCGAGTTGCCAAACATCAGCCACCAAACCTTAATGACTTGGAGAGGATCTGCAAAGAGGAGTGGGCCAAAATCCCTCCTTAGATGTGTGCAAACCTGGTGGCCAACTACAGGAAACGTCTGATCTCTGTGATTGCAAACAAGGGATTTGCCACCAAGTACTAAGTCATGTTTTGTGAAGGGGATAAAATGCTTATTTCCCTCATGAACATGCAAATCTGTGCATAATTTGTTATACATGCATTTCTTTTGAATTTTTTGTTGCTATTCTGTCCCTGTGTTACAATACACCTACCGTTCGATTTTTAGACTGATCATTTCTTTGTGAGTGGGCAAACATTCAAAAATCAGCAGGGGATCAAATACTTATTTTCTTCACTGTATATCTTTTAGAATTATGGCTAAAAAGTTCAACCATGGTTGCATCAGACCATAAAAAACATTTTGCCACATGCCTTTGGGAGACTTCAGATGTGTTTTTGCAAAATTTAGCAGAGCTTGGTTGTTTTTCTTCCTAAGAAAAGGCTTCCGTCTTGCCACTCTACTCCATAGCACAGACAAATGAAGAATACGGGAGATTGTTGTCACATGTGCCACACAGCCAGTACTTGCCAGATATTCCTGCAGCTCTTTTAATGTTGCTGTAGGCATCTTGGCAGCCTCCAGGACCAGTTTTCTTCTAGTCTTTTCATCAATTTTGGAGGGATGTCCAGTTCTTGGTAATGTCACTGTTGCTCCATATTTTCTCCACTTGATGATGGCTGTCTTCACTGTGTTCCATGGTATATTTAATGCCGTGGAAATTCTTTTGTACCCTTCTCCTGACTGATTCCTTTTAACAGTGAGATCCCTCTGATGCTTTGGAAGCTCTCTGTGAACCATAGCTTTTGCTGTAGGATGTGACTAAGAATGTCTGGAAAGACCTACTAGAACACCTGAACTTTATTTGAGGTTAATAAGAGGGCACTTTAAAATGATGGCAGGTGTGTACTGACTCCTATTTAACTTGATTTTGAATGTGATTGCTTAATTCTGAACACAGCTACATCCCCAGTTATAAGAGGGTGTGCACACTTATGCAACCACATTATTCTAGTTTTTTAATGTTTATTTCCCCAACCCCCTAAAAGATTTCAGTTTGTTTTTCAATTGGGTTATACAGTTTATAGGTCACATTAAAAGGTGGAAAATGTTCTGAAATTATTTCTCTTTGTCTCATTTTTTTACATCACAGAAACCTAGCATTTTACCAGGGGTGTGTAGACTTTTTATATCTACTGTAGAACTTCTTACGGTTTGTCAGATGATACCTATAATAAAAATTTGAAATTTCTAGGTTTCTTGCTAATCCTCATTTAAAGTCTATCTAAAACCAAAATGTTTTTTTTTTTTCCATTTGGATAGGGTAGGGAATGTGGCCCATTCAAGAAGCCTAGCTGCACTTTTTGTCCTGAAGACAAAAGGAAGTGAAGGGTAATCTTTACAAAGCGAAGCAAATAACTGTTGAGACAGCTGTGTCTGGAACAAGCGTTCCCATTGGAAGATTTGTTTTATGATCTTGATCCAGTGACAGCTCAATTTTTTTAAAATTTTCTTGTACATTCAGTCCTGAGGACAATGGTCACATGAAAAGAAGAGTAAATCTCCATAATTGGGTCACACATAGCAATAAAGACCTGACTGGTTCAACCCCCACCAAAATAAAAAACATTTTGGCTTTAGATACACAAACTGAGCCACACAAAAGTGATCAATCACATTTCATATATATTATGTGACAAACATTTGAAGCAATCACAACAACCTACAGATATCATAGTTACATACCAGCAAACGATAAATGACATTTTAGAATGGGGTTTTATTGAAATGTCACATTTCCTTTTCCCTGACAAAATATATTTGGTATTGCAAAATTGTGCATGCACTGTTAATGCTTTAAAAAATGCAATAGTGCAAGTCATCGATGTAGGAAGAAGATGCAGAGATGATAGAGAAACATGGCTTACATAGAAATTAGACCACAGTACATTCCCACCTGTTATCACATGACCTGCAACTCAGTTCTCTATTTTGACATCAGGCATTAGAGCCATTATTCTACAGGTTCTTCATTTTATTTTATTTTTTTTCTTCATAGGAAAGCTGCATAAATTTGGTACCTACGAAAACATAAACCACACACTTGCCCATAGCATATAAAATACACAAATACTTTCAGATGCGTTCTCCAACCTGCCAAGTGCTTATACAACACAAATGTTTAATCATACAACCCATTATCCATTAACTCATTCTTACAAAGTTTTTTTGCTTTATAAATTAGTAAATAGGATTTCCTCCCAACTGTAGCACACAATGCGAGAGTCACCATTCATTTTGTTCAAAAGTCAAAACAACTGTGAAATAACTTACAACGCATTACATTTTTTTAACCCATACTTATCATTAAACATTAGTCTAAACCAAAATATTATTGAGGCATTTTGTCATATGTAAATACAGTACAATATACAAGTTACAGCACATTCATATACATGGGGTTGCATCACTCATCTTCATTTGAGTTTTCTTGACCTTCTGCACTTTGTTCAGATCGATCTAAGAAAACAAGAGTAGGAAAGTAATGAAATCATACTATATTTTAAAAGTCTTCGTGTTGCAGTTGTTATTTCTAAGACTATGAAAAATGTAGGCAGTGGGGGTCAACCTAAAAATTATAGGAGGACCTCCAGTGTGGTCCCCCTGACACTTTTAGAGGGCCACACAACAAGAGCACATTTTTGTGCATTACATCATGTCAGACAGTTCATTCAAATAAATGGGCAGCAACACACCTCAAAGCCTGAAAACTTCAGTACTGATACATTATTTGCACCATACCGCAACGCACACTGAAGAGAAAGTGGGAGTAATATAAACACTCCCAGCATTGCAGTCAATGGACACGCTTAAAGCCCCCAGCAGTGGCATCGTTGAATTGAATACAATAGTAACCCCCAGCATTGGCGCAGGTGGACACAATAGTAATTCCCAGCATTAGTATCAGTGGATGAAATAATAACCCTAGAAACAAAGCATGTTTGATTTTACTGTTTAAAAGAGAAGTAGGGCTTTTTTCCCCCTATTTATATTTACCTATTGCTCCAATGCTGCATCTGTCCCCTGCCAGCTCTAATGGTGAGAACTACGTGATCACATGATCGGGGAGTTCTCACAGCTGTTCTGAGCAGAGAACAGGATTGTCAGTCACCGCTGTCTGCTCAGCTCCCCAGTGTTCACAGAAGCTCTGGGCTGTGGAGGGGGAGGGAGCAGCTGGCTCAGGCTTTCAGCGGTTTGCAGAGAGGCTGAGTCAGGTGTCGCACCAAACTCTGGGGTGGATCCTGACTTTGAAGTCAGCCTGGACAGGCTGAGTTACATCGACAGACAGTGGACTTCAGTCCGCTGTCAGCTGAAAACAAGTCACAGGAGTGCAGAACTAACTATACTCCTGTGATCCACAGGAGAAGTACAGCCAAAAGAGCTTTGCTGAACTTCTCCTTTAAGACCTAATCTTTACCTGTACTGTTGGATGGACAGAGTTTTTATTTCAGTTCCAGGTGCTGGAACAGAGAAAGTTTCAGCGCCCAACACCCTGCAATCATTCTGATTCCCTCTGGTCCCCAAAAGGGGGTGGACCCACCCCAGCCAGCACACAACAGGTCACACATAATAAGCCGGGCAGGTCATGTGTTGGGCACTAGGGGTTAAGGCCTTTCATTTAGATAAAGATCTGATATTTGTGGGGAAAACTAAAATATAAAGCTTCAATAAAAGGTTTTTTTATTACGGACATGAAAATAGGAAAACAAAGCTGAACTCTAGTCACACAAACACTGGTATACAATTATATATTTGGACACAATTTACATAATTTTATAATATAAATTGGGCACTATTTTCATACTTTTGGCTCTGTATGCCACCAGAATAAATTAAAACAAAACAATCCAAATGAATTTGAAGTGCAGACTTTCAGCTTTAATTCAATGGGTTGAACATAAATATCAAGTAAAAATTTTAGGAACTGCAACCATTATTATACACAGTCCCTCCATTTTCAGGGGCTCAAATGTAATTGGACAAATGAATATAATCATAAATAACGTTCATTTTTAATATTTTGTTGAGTATCCTTTACTGGCAATAACTGCCTGAAGTCTGGAACCCATGGACATTACCAAAGACTGGCTTTCCTGCTTTCTGATGCTTGGCTAGGCTCTAACTGCAGCTGTCTTCAGTTCTTTGTTTGTGGGTCTTTCTGCCTTTAGTTTTTCCTTCAGCAGGTGAAATGCATGCTCAATTGGGTTGCGATCATGTGATTGACTCGACCATTGCAGAATATTCCACTTTTCCTTCAAAAGCTCCTGGGTTGCTTTTGCAGTGTGTTTTAGATTATTGTCCATCTGTACTGTGAAGAACCGTCCAATAAACTGTGCTGCATTTGGCTGAATGTGGGCTGACAGTATATCTCTAAACACTGCAGAATTCATCTGGCTGCTTCTGTCACATAATCAATAAAATGCCAATGACCCAGTGCCACTGGAAGCCATGTATGCCCATGCCATCTCACTGCCTCCACCATGTTTTACAGATGACGTGTGCTATGGATCATGAGCGGTTTCAAGCCTTCTCTACACGTTTGTCTTCCCATCATTCAGGTGCAGATTAATCTTAGTTTCATCCTTCCAAAGAATGCTTTTCCAGAAATGGTCTGGCTTTTTTTTAGATGTTTTTTTTGGCAAAGTCTAATCTGGCTTTTTTATTCTTCAGGGTTATGAATGGTTTGCACCTTGTGGTGAACCCTCTGTATTTGCTCTCGTGAAGTCTTCTCTTGATTGTAGACTTTGACAATGATACGCTCACCTCCTGGAGAGTGGTCTTCACTTGTCTGGATGTTGTGAATAGTTTTTTTCTTTACCATAGAGAGGATCCTGCAATCATCCACTACTGTTGTCTTCTGTGGACATCCATGCCTTTTTATGTTGCTGAGCTCACCAGTGCGTTCTTCTTTCCTCAGAATGTACCAAACCGTTCATTTGGCCACTCCTAATGTTGCTGCTATCTCTCTGATAGATTTGTTTCATTTTTGAAGGCTCCTTTGAACGCATGATGTAGGTTCACAGCAATAGATTCCAAATGCAAATACCACACTTAGAATAAACTCCAGACCTTTTACTTGCTTAATTGATGAAGAAATAACGAAGGAGTAGCCCACATCTGGCCATTAAAACAGCTTTTGATTCAATTGTCCATTTATTTTTGGTCCCTTTAAAAAGGGGGGTGGCTACTCTTAAGAGCTGGAATTCCTAAACCCTTCCTCCAATTTGGATGTACATACCCTCAAATTAAACCTGAGAGTGTACAATTTCAGCCCATATCCATTATATAGCTATAGCTTGAATATGCTTTGGTAAATACCTGAAAAAATCTAAAATTGTGCCTGTGTCCAAATATATATTGACCTAACTGTATATTGGTTTAAGACCCCCTGGGGCCCTTTTTGGGGCTTATGAAAGTGGTTAATATTTTTGCACACATTAAAATCTGCATTTTTTCCTAGAAAATTACTAAAAACCGCCACGCAAAATATTTTCTGGCAGTTACAATTTTTTATGCCACACCACATTTGCGCAGCTGTTTATCACACACAAATTTTCAGGAAGAAATACACTGAAATTAACTTTGGTGCATACTAACAAAATATTACTCAATTTTTGGTAAAATATAAAAAAGACGATGTTGCATCAAGTAAAAAGATATCAAATATGTCAAAATTTAAAATGGCGCATGAAATTGCAACAAACTTCAGTACCCCAAACTTCAGCCCATAGTTGACACTTTAACTCTAAACTGATAACCTGTACAGGTTTTTAATCAATAATTAGGGCTCGCAGCACCTCACCTTTTATGTGTGGTGCAGTCACCCAACGGACCAATTACAGTGGTCTCCAGTTCTTGGTGGAACAGGAGAGCCCATGAACAATTGTGGGTAGCAGAGGGTGGGAACCTTCAGAAAAGTAAAAAGTGATTGGGTGGCCTGCCATGATCAATTTTACAAGAAAGCTGGTCGGTGGCTGAAAAAAAAAGCAGGACACCAACTTGGCCCTATTTAAATGTAAACATTAAGTTAGGCTTTATGTATACTCCCTTGCATTTCTATCAGTAAAAGTGCACATTTTTAGATTGTCTTACAAAAGATTTTTTGGGTCCAGAACCACTTTAAGGTTAGTGGCTCATTAGGCGCTAAATTAAGAATGAGGAGAATATCCCAGGAGCTTACACTCTGTTTAAAATTCTGCGCATCTTACCTGCTCTGATATGATTAAGCGATGCCAACATTCGTAGCATAAAAGAGGCAGGCACAGTTATGGTGTTGCGTGTTTCTTCCAGCATCAATTCATTCCTTGACATAATCTGAAATATTGACAAAAGGTAGAACATATTTAACAAATAGTGAGAATACAGTACGGAACCCATGAAAAACGATGAAAGATGATAAAAAAGAAACTGTGGAATGTCTGTCTTATTCTTCCAGTGGGCAGTAGCCTCGCAAGGCAAGGAGCACATAGTGCACAAACACATGTGTAATAGGACATGTATTTGTGTACAAGTAACACTGTTTTGGGTTCGAGCCTTGCAGTACAAGATATTTCAATGAACAAGGACTGCATAATAAAAAAAAAAAATAAAGTCCAGTTTAATCTTGGCATTGAGTGGCACACAAACAGAACCATTTTGATTTGCCAATGTGATCTAAATACACGTTCAATCACAACTAATGAGTTCCTGGTAATATACAATAATTTATGCTGCTCACAGGTGCTCACCTGTGATATGGGTACTGGAGAAGTGTAAAGCAAAGTGTAGATCCCATGAAGCCGCATAACTTTGCAGACCCGCTGGTATTGGAATGTATGGCAGTCTCAACCTGGGCTCCTGCCAGGCCATGCCCCAACACGTTTTACTCTGTTCTCCAGAGCTTAATAATGAAACGCGCTGGAACTGTGGGATCCCAGGATGGGACTGCCATTGCCATTCATTCCAATACCAGTGGGTCTGCATAGATGTGCTGCTTCATGGGATCCATCCTTTTCTTAACAGTTGCTTGGAGCTAAGACAAGCTCCTCTCCTGGCCTGCACTCATTGATGGACACAGGACTGCTTTCCCTTGTAGCTTGAGCAGTACACATTTTCCATTACTGGTTTACTGAAGTGTACTTTTAGTCTATTTTGTCTATGAATATTTTGCTTTGAAAATTATAAAAAGTTTGAATTATTCCTAAATTCTAACTTCAAGGAAAGCCTTTTTTCTGGTTTTGGATGGACTGGAGATGGATTAGAACACCTGTCAGGTTTATATTGATGCCTATGTCCCTGTTAGGGAGACCAGCTGTCTCTATTTGTCCTGTTTACCATTATCACTGATCATGAAAGTGAATAGAAATTGCAAATGTTGGGTTCTCACCAGAACAAAAAAAGAATGTAAATCTTCCACTGGGGGCACTAGTTCTGGTGACCCTGGTAACAAGGGACTCCCTTCACCTCACCATTTAGGCTATGGGACAGGAACTCAGTGAAGCTTATCCCCTACAATCAGTACAAATAAAGACTCCAGTGTGTTTCTTTAGTGCTAGGTTTGTGCGGTTGTATGTCGTAAAATTTTTTAATTGTGCTGATATTATTTAAGAGTCTAGCAACTTTTCCCCAGATGATATCACCCAGCCCTCCTACAACAGCCAAAAAACACGAAACCGGAAAACATAAAATGATATAACTGAGATTTAAACAGCACAAATGTGGCACTAACCAATTAGCCCGATTTTATGCCTTTTGTCTCTTGTAGGGGGGCTTGGTGAGGTTTGGTGACCTTTATTAAATCAATAATAACTGAAAAATAAAAGGAAACAGAATAGACAGTAAAATGGCACAAACATGGCTTTAACCAACCAGCCTGGTTTCATGTCTTTTGGCTTTTGTAGGGGGCTGGGTGATATCATCCAGAAAAAAGAACTAATATCTTAAAAATAAAAGCAGCACAAGTATGATTTTTTTTATGGAGTTTTTATTTCTGCCGATTGTGGGGGGGGGGGTGGGGGGGGTAGCTTTTCTGAGCTTAGGACAGGAAGTGGAGGGAAATCTCCCCAATGGGACACAAAATGGCAAAGAAATTCAGGTATTATAGCACCCTTTACTCTATCCAAAACATAAAAAAAAAATTCTGCCTTTAGTTCTACTTTGACTACCTCATTACCAGCATGTTACACCTCCTTCCTTTCCAGGCCAGTTTTTAGAATTGTAATAGTGTAACTGACAATATCGTGTACCCCAATATATTTTATGCTATTTTTTAAACAGAGCTTTCTTTTTAGTGGTATATAATAACCACATTTTGTACTATATAAAAACAAAAAAAAAACTAAACATTTTGAGAGAAAAAAAAAAAAACGTTTCCCTACTTTTGATATAAAAAAATCTTGATTAAAAATGCCAGGGTATTACAAATGACCCTTTTTTGAAAAGTGGAAACCCCATGGGGAATTCATTTTTACTATTTTTGGAGATGAAGAAACATGCTGGTATTGAGGTGGTTAACGTGCATTTAGCGCTTAAAAGTCACCCACTGAAGCAATGTGCAAGACTTCCATTAGTGGAAAGCTCGCTGAAGAATTCAACTGCATTGTGTACAATGGCTAGATGACATTATTAAACATGAAACACTTTTAAACCATCCTAAAACAGTCCCACAATTATTGGTTTTAGTGGCATTTTAAACACCCCCTCCCCAACCCACTATCATTGGCGGCCAGTAGTAATGTAACCCCCTCCAAAACAATCCCACAATCATTGGTGTTAAGTGGCATTTTAAAACCCCTACTCCCACCATTAGCTGTCATGTGCATTTAAATTCCCTCAACACTTGTGGAGGTGAACTCAAATGAATGGGCTGTAAAATTGCACTGCAGTGCCTGCAAACTCCATTCCTGTGCAATTCTGATGTGAACTGATCCTAAATAGCTCATCTCACCTCTTCAGCAAGTGCCCAGTTGAAAGATTTGTCTTCTTCTAGTGGTGACCATATCTTGATATTGTAGTCTATTCCAGATGATGCTAAAACTATATCCAGAATTTTAGTTAGATGTTGCAGACACATGACATCCATATGTTTACATAATATATGTCAAGGAAATTACTTCATTTAACAGCATGATGTGTTACCAGTTTCATAACTGCTAGAAATGACTTTACACTTGACTGATTTTCATGTTGCCAATAACTGGGGGAAAATAACAGTTAATTTATCATACTCATGGAATCCATAAGAAGCCTCTTTAACCCCTTGACGCCGACGTAACACAAATATGCGGCCTCACGGACCTGGGCTTTTTTCCGTGGGGCCGCATATTTGCGTACCTGTCTTTGTGCTGGGAGCGCGCCGCTCGGCGCGCTCCCAGCACCAAGACCGCGGTGTCACTGAGAGCCCCAGGTCCCGTTCTAACGATCGGGACCCGGGACTCCCTATTCCGGGTCACGTGATCGCTGTGATAGTCTCTGATTGGCTATCACAGTGATCAATCACTGTGCAGCCCGGCCCCCCTTTGTTTTCTCTCTCTCTATGAATGGAGAAGAGAGATACATTGTATCTCTCGAACTCCTGACATAGAGAGAGAAAAAAAAAGTTTGTAAAAAAAAAAAAAAAAAGATAAATAAATATTAAAAAATAAAGAAAAATACCTAGATCAAGGTTTGATCTAGTTCAGTACCAGGGTTAGTGTTTGGGTCAAGGTCAGGGTCAAAGGTCAGGGTCAAGGGCAAAGGTCAGGGTCAAAGGTCAGGATTTAAAAAAAAAATTGGTATCAGTGTCAGTTAGTGTTAATGTCAGTGTCAGTGACAGTGTGTTTTATGTAAAAATAAAAAATAAAAAAAAAGACAAAAACAAAATGCGCACTGTTGTTTTCTGGGCTGTACTACGGGTACAAACAACAAATAACATACACATATATGGTATCGCTGCAATCGTCAAGAACTGGAGAATGTATTTTGGGTTGTTCTTTGGTGGTAGGTTATGGTCGTAACAAGAAACACACAGTTAAATTTAAAAAAATGATTTTTTTTACTATTTTGGCCAGTTTTTCCTTTAATAATAAAAAAAAATTAGGAGCTATCCATGACCATTTACCACCAAATGAAAGCCCAATTTGTCCTGAAAAAAACAAGGTATAATCCACCTGGATGTACAAAGTAGTTGTGACGATATGTACGGTTTTACTAACACGTCAACGTTGCAGAATTGTGCTTAGGCATTTAGATTTGTTTTACCCTTAGGCATGAAGGGGTTAAAGGAGAACTGTGGAATTGGGGGAAAAAAAAAAACAAAAACATACTCACCTAGATGACTGCAGCATAACCACTCATCCCTCAGTTTCTCAGTCTTCACTGAGCAGTCACTGGTTCTGTGCTTTGCCTCTCCAGCACTCACTGTAGCGCTGGGATGAGGAGGGAGCAGTAGTGGCTTGCTCAGGCTGCAGTGTGCTGAGAGGCTAGCTGCCGATCAGGCATGTGGGTGAATCCCGACATTGTCAGGAATCCTGCAGCACCTGGACCAGCTCTGTGACGTCAGCCACCAGTGGACTTTAGCCAGCTGTCAGCTAAATCTGGGTCACAGGAGTGCAGAAATAAGTGTACTCCTGTGACCCAGAAGATATGCATGACCAAAAAGCTTAAGGTTAAATTTTTAAAAAAGACAAGGACTAATAGTGGGTGTAGTTGGAGATGCAGTGAGGTTGCATGACAGGAACACAGTGAGGTTGCATGACAGGAACACAAACTATGATGGGGGCAGCTTCATGGAAAAGCCAGGTAACAAAGTGACAGTTGTCTATATAACAAATTCACACTCTAACAAATCAAGATTTACATAGGAAGATCTTTTAAAAATAGTATGGCAAATGTATTCAATGGCATGTCTTTGGATGGTTATGTAGGACCATTTCCTGCATTTGACTTACATGCACAAGGTGGTGGGGGTCAGTAATCCGCACCTGCTTCAACTTTTTGGAAAAAATAAGCATTATGAAAAAGAAGCAGGCCTCAGTTGCCTAATATTTCAAATATTCATGGAAAGAATATTTCACCAGGACAGCTCCTGGCAACGTTTGATTAGTCACTTGATGTGACCTGTAAAACCGCGGTCAGAACCATTGACACTCCACAACAAGATATTTGTGATGCCAGTGTATGAAGTATAAACTGGTATATCGCCACATTCAAAATGCACGCTAATCTCATTAAAGCAGAAACAGCAGTATTAAATACTCTAGAGAATTTTCTATACAGATAAAAAGACTTTATTTTTCAAAGTAAAAAATACAAATGCTACAAAAAGTGACATGAAGGCAAATAGTTGTGTGTTTATTTGCATTAACAGACCTGAGGGTGCACGCAAAGTGGTAGTGTTACCCCTTGGTCCTGTTCAATTGTGTAGTGCTAGTGCTCAGAACTGTTGCCATGGACCACTTGGAAAAGGTAACTCTCACAGCTCACTTCTGGTCTGTTATGGCTTGCTTCAGTGTGAACGCAAACCGCTCCAGAGCGCAGAACTGAGATCACTGAATATAGAAACTAGGATCACTTTAATGCAGACCAACGGGGGAGGTGTGTGTGTGTGTGCGTGGGAGGGGGGGGGACCAGGGGTAGGCAACCTGTGGCTTTCTAGATGTTGTGGAACTACATTTCCCATGAGGCATTGCAACATTACAAAACTGACAATTACAGCTATGACATGCAGAGGCATGATGGAACTTGTAGTCCTGCAACAGCTGGAGAGCCGCAGGTTGCCTACCCCTGTGGGTGGTTAAATGTGACCACTGAGTGCACCTTTGAGTTGACACATGGAACATCCTTTTCAGATTTCTGCTAAACAGGGGCAAAGCAGCACAAGGGACAGACCTCACAGAAGATAAGGAATATCTGTTGTGCTTATTATTTTTTTTTAGTTGACTTACGCTTTAATAAATTTAGTGCCATCTGCAGCTCTCAAAATCTATCACATTATGTTACTACGAAAAAGGGGTCTAAGACTCAAATTTGTATTCTGACAGCCAGGAAAAAAAAAAAAAAAAAAAAAACACAACTTACTTGGGTCATATGGATGTGGTTGAACACAATTAACTACATGGTTGTCTGCTTCTAAGAGCATTAGATGCTCAGTCGTGTGTCGATCCCAAATGAAGATGTGACCACAGTCTGACCCGCTTATGACAAAGTTTTTACCCCAGAAGCCAGCCTCTTTGATCTGAAAAAAAAAAATATTTCAAATGGATAACAGGAATAACAGGTTTTTGGAAAAAAAACAAGGATAAAAGCTTCTGAAAATGCTAGATGACTGGAAGTCATGCTGACTCTTTGTAGACCCAGGACACAGAGTATGCCTGTTTTCTTAGTTTTCTCTGGACTTTCCTGTTGGCCCTGGTGTAAACGTTTGTCTCCCTCCAGCTCCTACCTACTGCACGTGAGTGCAATTTGATTTGTTTTTGTCTCAGCCTAATAAGTGTTTAACACCCCGGTCACATCAAGCTCTACTTTGAATTCGTGCGACTTAAAGTGAACTTGCACAATTTGAAAGTCAGATCACATGCCGATTTCAGGTGCGATTTATCTGATACAGATGTCTATGCACATCACACCAAAAATAGTGCATGTACTACTTTAGAAATCGATGCGGCTCCAAGTCGGAACCACACAGATATAATTACGCTGACTGCGGACACTAGGCTGCGATTTGGCATGTGATTCGCATGGCATGCAAATTGCATACTAATTCGCATCCAGTGTGACTGGGGTCTTCTTGTACCAGATTTTTTAACTTCTCTCTTCCTTTTATATATTTTTCAAGCTTACAAATGGTAACTCCACTTTTGTGGGGAAAAAAAAAAAGGAAATAAAAGTAATATAGCATATACAGTGCCTTAAAAAATCTTCGCACCCCTTATAATTTTCCACATTTAAAATATTTTAAATATTCACAATAAAATAAATTTACGTTTTTGGTTATATGTGATAGACCAACACAAAGTGGCACATAATTGTGAAGTGGAAGGAAAATGACAAATGGTTTTTCATATTTTTTACAAATAAATATCTGAAAAGTGTGGTGTGCATTTGTATTCAGCCCTCCTGAGTCAATACTTTGCAGAACCACCTTTCACTGCAATTACAGCTGCAAGTCTTTTTGGGGATGTCTCTGCCAGCTTTGCACATCTAGAGAGTGACATTTTTGCCCTTTGTTTGCAAAATAGCTCAAGCTCTGTCAGATTGGATAGAGAGCATCTGTGAACAGCAGTTTTTCAAGTCTTGCCACAGATTCTCAATTGGATTTAGGTCTGGACTTTGACTGGGTCATTCTAAAACATGAATATGCTTTGATCTAAACCATTCCATTGTAGCTCTGGCTGTATATTTAGGGTTGTTATCCTGCTAGAAGATGAACCTCTGCCCCAGTCTCAAGTCTTTTGCAGACTAACAGGTTTTCTTCTAAGATTGTCCTGTGTTTGGCTCCATCCATCTTCCCATCAACTCGGACAGCTTCCCTGTCCCTGATGAAGAAAAGTATCCCCACAACATGCTGCCACCACCATGTTTCACGGTGGGGATGGCGTGTTCAGGGTGATTGCAGTGTTATATCAATAAAATATTCTTAGGGTAATCCAGAAAACCCAGCAGAATCCCAAAACTGAACAGGGAGCAAAGTTAAAGTCCACTACTACACCAAAATGGGATGTGGGTCACAGTAGCAAAATATAACTAGAAAATACAATAAAGGGAAAGAAGCCCTAAAAAAAGAAGGTAACTGTCGTGATCCAAGTAGTTTGACCAAGTAACACATTTTATTGCAGAACCATGAAAAAAAAAAATCAAAAACATGAAAAAGAATTTAATACAAAAATATACACCTCCACCCATCACCATTAAAAGTTTGACAATGTTGTCAATTAAAACCAAAATCCGGACTGAAAGTGACTTAAGACCGATGTCTGACCCTCAGCTATATCATGTCTTATATCATGAACCTCCGCACAAAAACTGAGCATAAAAAGATTAAACTATCAACTTAAAAGGATGAAAATTATGGGACTTAACACTTAGGATAACAGCGCCTTTGCAACACTGTATAAACCTATCTCACATAGATGCAAAACAGTTGATACAATGTATCCAAACAAGCAAAGGAAAATCTTGCGAATGGCCAAAGCAGGATGAAAAGCTGGATAGAAGCTCGTGACACGCAGCTGCTTGCTGATGGAAGTATCAAGCCCACACATATTATGGCAGTTAGCTTAGCCCATATGCAGCTCAGTAAATGGCTTTTATGATATAGAGCACATGCATAGGATGGCCCTTAAATCCAATATGAGGTAAAGACGGTCCTGCTGATGATTTGGAGGTGTCACACTCAACAATATGGACCCAGATGTAGAAAAAACTAAGAAGAGACTTAATAAGATAATGTACACAATGGCATTCTGATTGCCACACACTGACAGTAAACGAGGCTTAACACTGCCTCCCCGTGAGCATGGAGCAGCTCCTAGACTGTTTAAACTGTACTTATCATCTGTCAGATGTAGCTTTCTGGCATTACAGGATCCGTATCTTCAGCTCTTGTGCAGGTAGCTTCTGTGACCCTAGGTTTGGATACCACTAGGTGGATACAGCATCTCTTCGTGGCCAAACAGAGCTCCGCTCTCCTTCCCAGCCTCACATAGCTTCCTCTGTTGCAGCGTGAGGGTCACACATGCACAGAAAGGGCTTCCCAGTACTCAGCTCCGCTTCACCACCATTCATGACAGTACTCACCAGGCATCTATTCACAATACCAAGGACCCCATGAATGTGGAAGCTACTGTTTTTGTATTAAAAAAAATCTTTCATTTTGTTTTTTTTTTTTTTTTCACGGTTCTGCAATAAAATTTGTTACTTGGTAACGGTCATGACTTTCTTTTTTAGGGCTTCTTTCCCTTTATTTTGTTTTCCAGTGATGTGCAGTGTTAGTTTTCCTCCACACATTGAGTTTTTCTTTTAGGCCAAAAAGTTAAAATTTTGGTCTAATCTGACCACAGCACCTTCTTCCACATACTAAACAATATGATAGTGTGACAAGAACACACCTATCTGAAAAAGAAGGTTTCTAAAAGATCCACGCGGAGTAATATGAATTCAAATGAATTTAACAATACTTTATTTGATCACATAGATCATAGGGAGGTTAAACATAAGCACGGTGTACATATGAAAAAAATAAAATCATGTTTAAAAACACTTAGCGTCTTCAATTAAGGGTCATCTTAGCCAACAGAGCACCATATAAGGCAGAGTGGTGTAATGATGGAATAGTTATCCTGGATTTCTGTAGGTTTCCTGCTTAGTATTTGTGTGAACCGTATATTCAGTAGGTGTGTTCCCAGTATAGATCAGGGACCTCCTGGAATGTACAAGCTGGAACACAAGAATACATGGTATGTATCTAGCAATATGGAAACCAAATCACATCCAAAATTTACCAGGCCTCCCTCCACAATAGTCAATGGATGCTACTGTTACCTTCTCATAGGTGAGACTATCATACCCGCCTTTCAAATGTAGGGACTTCCTGGATAGCCACCCCAAATGGAACAGGGTCCACAGTACCAAATGATTCTGAGGATATATATAGAAAAAGATAATAAATGTGTAGAACATGGGCATCAGGTAATCCCGAAAACAAAACACACATAAAGATGTGGATATATTACCATCAATAAGGATCAAGAAGACTCCTGTCGACTTGAACTAAGATCAGGTCCTTGATGCTTTTCCAAAAATGCATATGGGGGTGAGGGACCAGGTATACACGATGCGTGGATTTCAAACACATATAGTGTGTATATAGCATATAGCAGGCCGTAGATACCTGAATTTAATATACCCAGTAAAGGGTTTCCAAAAATTGCTCAATTTGAGAAGGTTATTTGCGGTTTAATAAGGATCTAGCTATGTCACAGCAAAAAATACCTGAATAGGATAGCATATGTATATATATATATATATATGTAGATTCTCCTCCTTAGAGGATTTCCAAGAAATTCCCGAGTATACAGGGTAAATTAGGCCCATACAACATGCCCTATGAACACCATGTAGGCTCTGTAAATCTCAACAGCCGTAAGCTTTTAAATAACTTGCCACCGGTGGAAGATATATTTCCCTGAAGGATTGCCGTTTGCGAACCGCTGTGATAATAGCCCACTGGTAGTTCTCAAAAGGTCTTGGGCCTACCTAGCAGGGAGCTGTGACACCGCCGTTCCTTCCCGCCTCGTGGGCGCCGCACCCTGTGAAGACGCCGAGCGTAGTGACGTCAATACGTTGACGCGTTTCGTCCGCCAATCACCGCAGACTTCGTCAGAACGGTGACGAAGTCTGCGGTGATTGGCGGACGAAACGCGTCAACGTATTGACGTCACTACGCTCGGCGTCTTCACAGGGTGCGGCGCCCACGAGGCGGGAAGGAACGGCGGTGTCACAGCTCCCTGCTAGGTAGGCCCAAGACCTTTTGAGAACTACCAGTGGGCTATTATCACAGCGGTTCGCAAACGGCAATCCTTCAGGGAAATATATCTTCCACCGGTGGCAAGTTATTTAAAAGCTTACGGCTGTTGAGATTTACAGAGCCTACATGGTGTTCATAGGGCATGTTGTATGGGCCTAATTTACCCTGTATACTCGGGGAATTTCTTGGAAATCCTCTAAGGAGGAGAATCTACATATATATATATATATATATATATGCTATCCTATTCAGGTATTTTTTGCTGTGACATAGCTAGATCCTTATTAAACCGCAAATAACCTTCTCAAATTGAGCAATTTTTGGAAACCCTTTACTGGGTATATTAAATTCAGGTATCTACGGCCTGCTATATGCTATATACACACTATATGTGTTTGAAATCCACGCATCGTGTATACCTGGTCCCTCACCCCCATATGCATTTTTGGAAAAGCATCAAGGACCTGATCTTAGTTCAAGTCGACAGGAGTCTTCTTGATCCTTATTGATGGTAATATATCCACATCTTTATGTGTGTTTTGTTTTCGGGATTACCTGATGCCCATGTTCTACACATTTATTATCTTTTTCTATATATATCCTCAGAATCATTTGGTACTGTGGACCCTGTTCCATTTGGGGTGGCTATCCAGGAAGTCCCTACATTTGAAAGGCGGGTATGATAGTCTCACCTATGAGAAGGTAACAGT